TTTGGTCCCGTCCTGTCCTCTTACCCGCCCCCCGTCCTCTCTTCTGAGCCACCGGATCAGCACTCACATGGCGTTGCTCAGCTGGTCGGAGCGCTGAAGACCTCCATCACTGTCTACAGAGGTGGCGGGCACAGCTGCGGGCACAGGCAGTTCCGCTGGGTTGGCACTGAAGGCTCATTAGTCAGACTGCCACCGACACTTCCAAGTTCATTTCCCACTTCCACCTTTGGCTTCTCTCCCTGTCCCCACCTCCCCGTCAAGTCAAGGATGCTTCCTCCTCGTTCCCTTGATCAAGAGGAAACAAAGGCCTTTGGACTTGGGGCTCCCGGTCCAGGGCTCTGCTCTTTGCACGGACACTTCACATTCCAACCTAATTGCTCCCCTGAACTCTAGGGTGAATGCCAAGAGTCGGCACTGAGCAGGTGCCCGACAGATATTTGTGGAATGAATGAACGACTGGGCTGTTGTCCTTCCCTTTTCCGAGAACGGTCCCTGAGGGGCTCCTGGTAAGCTGCTCCATATGTCACCCCCCTCCCTCGACCCTTCCTCTCTGATCAGCCAGCATCAAACCCTCCAGCTGTCTCTCATGGTTGCCTGGGTTTTCTGACTCTCCCTTATCTAAGAGTTTTCTTCCAGCTCTCCCTGAGTTACTGGGGACCCAGGAGCTCCCGGGCGTCTTCAATGCACCCAGCTCTGTGCTCTCGGGAAGCAGGCTTTGCTGTAAGTCAGGATCAGCGCTGGCGTTCCCCTTCCCTGACACGCCTGCCTCCCGCCCCATCACCCTGCCTGCTTACCAAGCGTAATTGCTCCATCTAATTTAACAGACGTGCGGAATGGCTGCCAGGGGAGTGAACTCTCTCAGCCTCCCCAGGGGCAGGCGTGATGGGCATGTTTGGAGCCTCTGCTCCTTGTGTGGGCCCCCAACTGCTGGGAAGGAGGCAGTGACCCCTGCGGGGGTTGGAAGGGCCTTGACAGAGCCTCAGCCCACTCTGCAGGGCCAGGACTCCAGGGCCTTAGGACTGCTTCCACCCAGGATCCCAATGGCTATGCCCCGGAGTCCACCTGTGGGCCCATCCCACCCCTGTGGGCATCTGGGGTCTGCCCCTAGCATCCTGCCAATTCATGGAGACAGGCTTTCCGGTCACCTCTCCTTCTGACTTGCGGTTGGACGCAGGTTCCACTGGCGTCTCTCTTCTGGCTGCGGCTCCTCCCTCCTGGCCCTCAGCACCACTTTTTGCCGCAGTTCTTTCTCCTCTAAGCATCCCCCACCCAAGGGATTTGTGCAGAGCCAACTTCCCGGGAGCCTGGCAGGTGGGAGCAGAGCAGGCGCTGCCTCTTGGCCAGCACCAGAGACACCCGGGAGATCTGCCTTTAGAAGCCCCCCCCCCCCGCGGGAGCCCCAGGGTCCCCCTATCCTGTTCTTCTCCATCACTATCCCTTCCCCGCTCCTGGGTCCTGACTCTGAAACTCCAAGTTCTCCTCCTTGGTTTCGTAGAGCCAGGCACCTCTTTTCTTCCTTTTTATCTTTAGCTTTCCGGCATGTTCTGACCACGCCCTGCCTGGCAGGACCTGCAGTGGACTTCACTTTTCTCTTTAAGGCACTTTCCTGGACAAAGACCATTCTCCTCCCAAGAGGAGTTCTGCATCTGGCTTTACAAATGGGCTGTCTTTTAAAGACGGACGTGGCCTTCCATTTTCACTGTGTTTCACCACCCATAGAGCACCCGAAAAGCTCTTCTGAACACCTGAACTGGAGCCGGCTGCGGCCAGGATGCTGTCTTCGCAGGGTTCCAAGTGGGGCAGGAGAATGTGAGGGGGCCGCCGTTTCACCAGGGGGATCAGGGAGGAGCTGTGGAGCTGTGCGGGGTGTGGCAGGGGGCAGGCTGAGGTGGGGCGGACCCTTCTGGTGTGGCTTGGGTTGATCCAGGCAGGTTCCATGAGGCCACACCTCAGGTAGGTCTTGACAAGTCAGAAGCCATGTGTTGAGCAGCCAGGTAGGGTACGGACACTCCAAGAAGATGCTGAGCAAAGGCGCAGCATCAAGAGAAAGCAGAGCACATTAGTTGTTCAGGGCAAATGACCTGCAGTGTAGAAGGGATGGATGTTCAGAGGTCCCACAAAGAGTCTGGGGACGGCGGCAGGGGGCTCGGATCTTGGAAGGGCCCAGAGATCCTGGGAAGAAGCTAGAGGTGCTCTGTGTCTTTTTGTCTTCCAAACTGCCCAGTGAGATGGGAGCCAGTACCTTTAGGCCCAGTTTACAGATGACAAAACCAAGGCTCAGAAACACTGAAAGACTTTCTGAGTGGGCCCAGCTGATGATTAGCTCATGCTGCTCCCAAAGATGCCTCATTCGAATTTTTTCAGGTTGATTTTACTTGATTTATTTCTTTACTTTGGACAAACTGCTTGGCCCTCATGACTAGGCCACCTCTCCTTAGAGAGCAGGGTCCCCAGCCTCTCCTGGTGTGCCCAGCAGTGCCGACCACTGCCCAAGATCCCTCCACAGCTGGCCCCGAGAGCTTTGGTTGGCCCTTGAAGCCAGCAGGGCACTTGTTTAATCTCCAAAGAAAGGCGGAGGAAAATGGATTTCGGAGGCAGAGTCCCTGGGCGGTGGCATGAGATCCGCGTCTGCCGACAGCCCGGACAGGGGAAGCCGATGAGCCAAGGCTTAACAACGTCAAGGACTCTAAGACCCCAATCTCCATAGCTGTCCTCATCCCCCGAATCCTTTCAAAGCTGTGTAGAAATGGAGGAGCCCACGGATTATGCCCCCAAACGCTCAGAGAGCTGAATGAGGGATTAGCTACTTAACGGCCATTGACTTTAATGATCTTGGGCTCAGGAATCCCTGGGCTCGCGGAGGCCCTGGAGCACGCGCTGCTCCTTGCACAAACCATGTGCGCACTTGTGTGCCTGCCACGCCGGGAGAGCGTGTAGGGACAGACCTGTATAGAGACAGTGCACACTTACCAGTGTTTGTGTGCAGTGGGGAAAACGTGCCAGTATCTGCGTGGAGCAACCTTCACCTGTGCGTCTAGGTGACGCGTGGCAGGTTCATCTCGGCGCCTGCTCCTGTGACACTGCTTTTTTTTTTTTTTTTTGCCACATCTATATTCACACACACCTCTGTGTCCTGCTGAGCCTGCTCTGTGTGTTCACGCACGTGCGTGTGTGCTTGTGCTGGTCCGTGCCGGGGTATGTGCCTAAAGGTGGGTATGAGTGCTTTTTGCCTCCGTCTGCATCTGTGTGGTGTGTGTGCTGAGTGTGCAAGCTTGTCTGTGCAACTCTCATGTCTGTCTGTGTGGTCTGTGCTCAGAGGAACAATGACTTTCCCCTTTTGACTCCTTGAATGCACCAAGCTCTTTTCTTCCCCGAGGCCTCTCTCTGGGTGGCCCACGCCTGAAGCCTTCTTTCCCTTCCGGTTACTTCCTCACCTGACATCCAAGATGCACGCCCTGCCAGACACAGTTCCTAAACGCATGATTTAGGAACTGTGTCTCCAGTGTCTCCGTAACCCGGGCCGTCCCCCGTGCCCTGTGCTGGGCGAGGTGTGTGCATAGGTTCTCTACAAGGAGCAGCTGCATGGAGTCCATGGTGTGTGTGTGTGTGTGTGTGTGTGTTTCAGGTGCCTCTCAGTGCTCAGTGATCTTCGTAAATATATCTGTGCCTATGCATAAGTCTGTGTGCCGGTGTGTGAAATGATGTGTGTGTGTGTGAGTGTGTGTGTGTGTATGTGTGTGTGTGTGTGTGTGTGTGTGTGTGTGTCTGCTTGTATTTAACATGGCAGGAGTTTTGAGTTTTTCTGTGCATCCCTGTCCCAGCTGAGATCTCTCAGATCCTGGATAGAATCCAGGCAAGGAAAACTGGAGAAATTCCAGAATGGCCTGGAAATGGGACACTGTGTGGAGGCAGGAACGCAAACGGCCCACAGGGCTGCACCTGCAGCACCATGAAGGAAGGGGAGCCCAGAGGCAGGTGTGGGACCCCTGACTGGAGACCACGTGGGCCCTGATGCAGGACTGGGCACGGGAAAGGAGCTGATGCCCCTGGTTGTGTTGGACACTGTTATTTTCTCATGAAAGCTTGTTTAGCCTCTGGGCTGTGTCCTGAGCTGGGCGCTGGACGGGGCCTTGCAAGGTGCTGCCAGGAACCACAAGGGTCCCCCTTACAGTGGCTCCGCACCCTTCCCACAGCCAGTTTATTCAGCTGCTCTCCCTGCTGGACCCCAAGCTCCAAGAGAGCAGAGACCGGGGCTGTCTTCTACACTCAGCGCCTCCAGGAGCTTGACAGATGTGCGTGAAATAAGAAGGAATGAGGCTGGGGCTGGGGCTCAGTGGCAGGGAGCCTGCCTGGCATGTGCGAGGCTCTGGGTTCAATTCTCAGCACCGCAAATAAATAAATGAATAAAATAAAGGCACATCAACATCTAAAAAAATATTTTAAAAAAGAATGAATGAGTGTGTGAATGAATGAACAAGGGCCCCATCCCCACTCACACGTATCGAGGAAGAACAACTTCCATTTATGTACTTAGAGCCTGCCAACCGCATCCCATCCACTCTCCTGTGCCCCTCCGCCACCACATGAGGCCCGTGACTCTATTTCAACACCTATGGAAGTGGAGACAGTGTAAAAACAAAATAAGGCAAAAGGTAGTTAATGGAACAGCCTGCGGCAGTGAGGCTGTGAAAGCAAACACAACCGAGAGGCAGTGGAAGCCTAAATAAAGTCTGCTAATAAGACATACGGGGGACAGCGAAGACGGTTAAAGAACTGCTAACAGCCCAGCCGAGGAGCAGCCGAACCTGGCAGTCCAAACAGCTGCAGAAGCCCCCACCCAGCCAGGGTCTGGTGTCAGAAGGTGAACCCACTTGGGGAGGCCACCAGGTCACTCTGTGGCTGCCTTCCCTGCAAAATGCAGATCAGAGGGCCCAGCCCCGCCCCGCCCACACGCAGATTGTGATGAAATGGGCCTGGCAGGCATCAGATGCTCTTCTCACCTCATTTCTTCTTTCCCCAGAGGCAGGCTGTCTGCTACACAGACAGTGGTTTATGGTGAGTGTTCTGGGGGCTTCGGGTTAACAGACCCAAGTTAATGATATCAGCTAACATTTATTGATTTATTGAGTATATGATGTGCCAGACACTGGGATGGCCATGTTTCCTTATTTAATCTGCATGACTAATCTATTATTAGGCCCATTTTATAGACGAGAAAACTGAGACTCGGGGGTGCTGAGTTTCGTGGCCTGAGCTCAAGATCACTCAAACTAGCGAATGAAAGAACCTGGATTTGGGGACCTATTCGAGTGTGTTCTAACTCACAGGCTTTACCATAGAAATACATAACTTAACTCCCGGCGTGGGAAAAACAATTATTAAGCTGTGTCACTTTTCTCTAAGCCTCAAGTTCCCCTTCTGTAAAACAAAGGGGTGAGAGCAGATGAGAGGCTTTCGGGACAATTTAGCAGCTTGACCCTTTTATTCCAACAAAAGCCCAACATGTGACATTTGAAAAAAAAGGGAGCTGTCCTGATTGACAGGGGGGCACAGCCTAGGTTCTCTCCCCGTCCTGTCCCTGTGCTGACCCAAGAGCAACCCTGAGGCCCCTGTGGGAACAGAATGAAAAACGCTGGAACAGATAGCTCTATGGCTCTGCCTGCTCTGGCCACCTGGATTCTACTGAGTGACCCTGTGGACGCCCCAAGGACGAGCCATAAGAAGGTGGTTCCAAAGGAGGACAGGAGGGCGGTTGCCATCGGCCCTCGCCCCCACTGATAAAGGTACACATCAAGGAAAACCACGGACATCGTAGGAACCGGCTTCCCTGGAGAGCTCTGCAGAGGCCCTGGGCTGATGGTGGCCCCCAGCTGGGCATGGCCTGGGGCTAGGGACAGGAGCCCAGCTCCAGGCCTCCTGCACACCAGGCCACCAGCCTCCTATGTGACAGAGCTGTGGCCTGAGAGCCTTTGTTTAGAGTTTTGATTTATGCAGCTGTTCACTGCAAACCATGCATTAAGTTGCCAGGGAAGATTCAAAATTGTAAAATAATTGTGGTGGTGAAATTATTCACGAATCCATCCAGGCCCAGCGCGTCAGGCAGGCGGTCAGACTTACACTGAGCACGTGGTGACATAACTCAGGCTCAACAGATAAGCTTGTTACGCTCCCGACAGAAGCAATTCCCCAGAGACTGCTGGGTAATGCCAGGCCAATTATACACCCTGCCCGAGGGAGGGAAGGCGCGTCACCAACGAGGGTGACACATGGGATGGGGGTGGGGGGGCAGGTCATGCATGTAGGAAAATGTCCTCATGATTCCTGAGCAAGCACAGGAGGCCAGGGGCTGGGGCACTCCAGTCTGGAGCAGAGAGGTCATGTGGGCAGCCACGGGGTGTCCAGGTGGGGAACAGGGCTGGGGCTCACTCTCAAGCCAGGCAGTGGCCCAGCTGGTCAGCATCTTCCCCAAACTGCATTAGGTTCACTGAGAAGCCACAGTGTCCTTCCAAAGTGGCTTCTGCCCCCGCGGGCAGCTGTGTCCACACGGGCAGGAGCGGCTGCCAGGTGAGCCGTGAGGGCGAGTCACTGTCCCCCCTCCCAGGCTTCACTGGAATCCGTGTTGTTTTCACTGACGGCATAAGTTGTTTTATGGGGCATTTTACCAAAGAGGCGGGTGTCTCCGAGGTTGATCATGAAGAGCGAACTTGTTTGAATACCATGCTGAGAATTTTATAAATACTGTTTCAATTCAGTCCTCTAAAGTGGTGGTTCTCAAACTTTAACATGGATCGGAATCTGCTTGAGGGTTTTCTCAGTCACAGATTGTTGGGTCCCAGCCCTAGAGTTTCTGATTTTTTTTGTGTAAGGTGGTTTCCGAGAATGAGCATTTTTAACCAGTTTCCAGGTAATGCTGATGTTTCTGGTCTGGTGAGTGCTTTGGACGATATGGTCTAAAGGAAGATAGGTATGATGATGCTTAGGAGGCTGCTGTGTGCTTGCTCTTCAGCCAGATTGCCTAAGTCCAGATCCTAGGTTTTTCTACTTCTTGGCTGTGTAACCCTAGAAAGTTAACTCAATCTCTCTGTGCTTTATCTTTCCATCTGTGAAACGGGTATACTAATCACACTATTTTGGAAGGATCAAATACATTGATACAGGCAGAGCTCTTAGAAGAGTGCCTGGCACTGGGTAGGCACTTGATAAATGTTCATACAGGAAGTTCATGGAAGCCACATCCGGCTCCTGCAGACCTAACCTGAACTCTGCCACCGATGCACCATATGTCCCTAGTTGTAATGGTGGCACTGTCTCGTGAGCTGAGGCTGAGGACTCTACCGCAGGAGGATCCCAAGTGCCAGGCCAGCTGGACACTTAGCAAGACCTTGTTTCAAAATAGAATTAATTAAAAAGGGCTGGGGACGGTAGGGCACTTGCCCAGCATGTGTGAGGTTTGGGGTTTCCTTCCTGCTACTACAAAAACATCAGAACCAAACACCTGGGCAAGGCCAGGCAGGAGCCTGACAGGTCTGCAACCACCAGAGAGGGAATCTGCCGGACCTTGCTGGAGGTGGAGCCACCGTGGCTTAGAGGGCCCTGGAGGTCAAGGCCACCCACAGGCCGAGGTCCTGAGAGAACAGAGAGGGTTCCGAGTGGTGCTTCTGGGTCACAGTCTGGGGGACGGGGGACCTCCTGGCTACTGCTGCCGTGCAGGAACCAGACCCAGGGTCGCAAGAACAGGGAGAGGGTGGGGAGAGGCCATGGGGTAAAGGAAGGGGGACCATGCAGAAGCCCAGAAAGAAGGGGACCAAGACTGACACCCACGAGAAGCAGCCCCAGGGCCCTGAGCCCCCTCCAGGCCCTGAGGCACTTCCAGGCCATGTGCCCTGGGGCATCAAGTCCTGCCTTTCTAAGTTGTCCACAGAGAAGGGCTGGGGGAGGCGCTGGGAAAGCAGCAGAGGTCCCAGGCCATGGAACGGCAGCTGCCCCCAGGCCTCTTCTGACTCAGATCCAAGTCCCCAGGCCCTGTCACTGTCACCAGTGATTCATGGACTAGAACCTTGGAGCTCGCTGTGGTTGGTACGTGTTGCTCCGCGGTTCATAAGCAGGAAACCGAGTCTCCCTCGTCCTGTGTCGGTGGTATTTGAAGGTGAAGGCTTTCGGAGGTGATGAGGAGTCGATGAGGTCATTAGAGCGGGGTCCCATGATGGTGTTAGCAGCTTTATCTTATTATTTATTTTTTGTGGTACTGGGGATTGAAGACCACCCCCCCCAGGGCCTCAGGCACACTATTCAAGTGCTCTGCCTCTGAGCTATATCCCCAGCCCTTGTTTTTTATTTTGACACAGTGATTCACTAAGTGCCCAGACTGACCTCAGGCTTGCAATCCCCCTGCCTCAGCCTCCGACATTGCTGGCATTAAGGCATGCACCACCATGCCCAGCTGCATTAGTGATTTTACGAGAAGAGGAAGAGAGACCTAAGCTACCCGTTTGCTGTGTCTTCTGTGATGCGTTGGCCATGTTCTGATGTATCAAGAAGGCCCAAACCAGATGCTGAGCAGATCTGGGCACCAGGCTCTTGGATTTCCCCACCTTCAGAACCATGGGTCCATAAACTTCTATTTATTATAAATTTCCTGATCTCTGGTACTTTGTCATAGCAACAGAAAACAGTCTCACACAGTAGCCCATCTTCTCTCACCCTCTCACTTTTCTATTTTCTCTCAAACCTTCCACATATCTAACCCCATTTATCGACCAACTACAAAATACCAGGTGCCAATGATGCAAAAACACGCAGCTCTGTCCCTTGCCAGTTCCTACCTGATGCAGGAGACAGGCATCTAGTCAAAAATTACTCCCACAATAGAGGAGTGACCCGATTGTGGAGCGGGCACGAGGCAGGCATGGTGAATTCTGTGGGAGGGACTAGGACAGCTTCATAAAGGAGGTGTCTTGGCTCCTGAGTTAAAGCAACAAAGCGAAGTTCCTGAAGGTGAGGAGCAGGTGAAGGGCACTGTGGGTCTGGTAGCAGCCGGGGGAAGCCACCTTGCTGGGCTGTGCAGGGGACACGGCTGGAGTGCACGCCGGGCAGGACGTCAGGTGATGCTTGCCCTTGTCCACCTCGTTGATCTCACGGATAATTGTTCAGGGTCTGCTTTGCCCAGGTGCCCTGGTGTCGCCAGATACAAGGGTCCAATGTTGGGGCTGACGGCCTCAGTTCCATATTTGGGAGTTTATGTTCCTGGCTGGAGACCGTGGAGCGAGACTGGAAAGAATTCCACGTTTCACACTGAGGAATCGGGGCTCCGATCCAAGCTCCAACGCCGCTCTAACTTTGCTGCTGCAGGGGGCACTGGGCAGGGCCAGCGTTTTCTCTGAAATCCTGGGTTTCAATCTTAAAAATGCAACATCTTTTGTCTTCTATTCCCTAGTGCTGCCACGTTTGTTTGCATGCGAGGATAATAACAGTGTTTTTCTGAATCATCCAGATTCGTAGATTTGGAAAAAAAAAATACTAAAGCCGGCACCTGGGAGCCGGGGGTCAAGTTTGCCTGGAGCTGGTGGGGGGGCAGCCTCACTGGCAGGTGAAGGCCGAAGACAGCGTTCCTGGGTCTGGCTGGGCTGCGTCCCTCCCTAGGGTGACTTGAGGGGCCCCAGGCCACGGGCAAGGGCGCTCTGTCCCTTTCACGCAGGGAGGGTGCCACCAGCCCGGCCCCGACTGTGGCTCCCATTCACGGAGAGATTTTACATCAAGTGCTTTTCATTCAGAGTTGGAAGCTTTAATATGTTTTACAGGAAGCCCTTTTATGTGCCAATAAAAAACGAGCGATTATAGCAGGTGATGAAAGCGGCTAGTGCCTCGGAGACGCCGCGTGTTTAGAGAGAGCGGATCGTGTCCCCCGAGATCAGCACTACCGGGGGCCCTGCTCCTTTATTACGGAATCGGCATCAGGTGGAGAAGGGCTCTTGTTAAAGAAAGGCAGGGCTGGTGACAATGGGGGAGGGGGAGAGGGAGGGGGGAGAGGGAGGGGGAGGGAGGGAGGGACGTTAATAACCCTCTCTGGCTGCGCTGCTTTAAAACCTCCCTTTCTTCTTTGTGGAAGAAGGGATGGACGCGAGCCAAGGGCAGAAAGCCATGACTACCAGGGACAATTAACTCGGCATTTAATTACCTTCTCCACAGACACCAAAACCCTCGCCATTTCGAGAATCCGCACAAGCACAAGGTCCAGGAGACCTGAGAGGCCGCCCGCTCCCCCCGCCCGGGAGCACCTGTACTGAAGGAGGCGGAGGGGGTTTCTTCACTGTCCCCAGGACAGGCCCCAGGGCTGAGCCAGGCCACAGCCAGGAGGTGCAGGGGACAGAGAGCCCCCATGCTGTCCAGAAGGTGAGCGGCCTCCTGTGGAGCTCGGCTGGCTGGTGTGCAGGTGGCTGGAGCCAGGGCAGCCCTGGAGACCCCGAGATCCGGGTGAGGTCTCAGCCCTGATTTGGGCCTTCAGTGCCAGCGCAGCAAGGCTGAGCAGAGGCTCCAGGAGTGGGAGGCTGACAAGTGTGGGCCTCAGGGCCCCCCCAACCTTGGCTTTGTCACTTATGATGGAGGACCTTCAGCCAGCGGCTCTCAACGAGGGGTGACTTTGTCCCTCCCCTGGGACTTCTGACAACATCTGGAGACAAATAACTGGAGATGGGGTGCAAAAGGCTCCACTCACTGCTGGTATCTGTGAAACGGAAGCCATAGATACTGCTAAACACCCTACTGCGCGCCCAACCATACCCCACAACAAAGACTGGTTCAACTCCCAAGTGTCAAAGCAATGGCGTTGAGAAAGCCTGTCTTTAGACAATCAACGAACTGCTCTGGGACTCGGTTTCCTTATTTATAAAACAGGGTGGTGGGTTGTGGGGTTGCTGTGAAGCTCACACGAACTGGGGTGTGCGGAGCGCTCACGACAGCGCTTGGCACCGCCAGCAGCTACCTTCAACTGGAGGACTGTCATCCAAGACATCAGGAGGCTGTCTAGGGGAGGGAGGCTCAGCTGGTTTGTCTGTCAGAATCAAGGGGCGGGGCTGAAGGCAGAGGAAGTTCAATGTCCTGGTGCTAAGAGCTCGAAGCTGGGGAGGCCAGATAAAGGGGAAGGGCAGAGGGGTCCTGGGTAACTTCTGCAAGCCCTTGCTGGTACCTGAGGGTTCCTCTCTGCAGGGTGCACAGTCAGGGAGCAGGAGCAGTGGGGGGGGGACCCAGAGGACCCACCTCGGTCCCTGTCTGCGGTGGTTCATGCCTGCTCCTTCTGCATGCTCCCGGAGGATTCTTTCTCTACCTACCTGCCCCACGGTGCCCCTCATCTGCCACGTGGTAGTGTTGTAGGCCCAGAAGGAGGGTCAGCCTCTGGAGCTGGGCAGAGAATGGGGACTGGAGGCAGCCCAGGGGAATTCAGGGAGTGTTGCATTTTGTCTTGTAGTGATGTGATTTGTGTCTCCCAAAGATCTGCCTGCCTGGACTGCAGCATGCGGCTTCATTTGGAGTCAGAGCCTTTGCAGATGTAATTAAGGTAATGATCCACAGACGGCATCATCACCAGGTGTGCAGGTGGGCCTTCAACCCAACTATGGGTGTCCTTACAAAAGACAGGAAAGGAGAAGGCTTAGAGCACTGAGCAGGGAGGGTCAAGGCCATGGGGAGCGGCACCCCTCATCTGGAAATCCAAAGTCTGGAATCCTGCAGTAAAGTCTAGGCAAATGTGCCAAAATCTGGGGAAAAGACAATGTGAAATCTGAAGTGTTTCTTGTCCCCAGCTTTTCAGATACAGTTCCCAAGACGGAAAGGGCCCGGGCCAAAGGCCCCATCCGAAGGGGCAGCTGGGCAGGGAACTCAAGCCCTGGCTCTTGCCCAGGGTCACCTTTCAGAGTCTGAGACAAAGCTTTCAACATCTTGTCCTCAAATAACTCCCTCGAACAAGGACCTTTGTTTTTCACCCCCAAGTCCCAGAACACTCCACGCTTGGCAAGGCTGAAGCCTCCCGGACCAGTTAACAAGGCCACCGGACGGGATGGTTAGGTTAAGGCGGCGTCCACAACCATCGGCGTGGGAAGAAAAGAGGAAAAGAGAAAAACCCAAGTACAACCGGCGCTTTATTAATCGCCCGAGAGCTCTTTAGCCGTGGGAGTTGAAAGGAGAGTGGTGAGCCGCTGAAGGAAGGGATGGAAAAACCCTGATCTTCCATTAATCTCGCTGCCCTCCGCGTGGCAGACACCCATTGTCAGGGCGGGCACAAAGCCTGCCACAGTTGGCGGCAGAATCGCAAGGTCCGGGGGCGAACGGGGAGCGCGGGTCTTTGGAGAGAGAGCGGTTCAATATGGAAAGTGTTTTCCGCACAGCCAGAGGGGCCCATTTCCAGTCCTTTTCAATTTGTACACTTTTCCTCCAATGACTCCTCGAGGGTAATTACAGTTCTTTTCACAAATGAAGTATGGAAGATGGGAGAGAGGCGAGGCTGTCAATAGTCCTGCAGGAATGTGCGGGTCTGTCTCTGGGAGGACAGAAAGCATCGATCCTCCTTCCTGGGGGACTCAGAGCGTGAATGGAAGGCATCCCCGTGGGGAGCCTGGGGGGGGGACATCGCCTCTGCCCCCAGAGGGGCCCCGAGTGATAGAGGACAGGAGCTTCTGAGCCCCCGTGGAGCTACCAGATATAAGAGCTGGGTCCTCCCACCGCAAATATGTGCTTTGGAGACCCATCGGCTTGTATCCTCTTTTGTATTTCCTCCCTTGGATAAGGATCCAAGACCCCAGCTACAGGCAGCAGGAGGTATTCCTGTGGCCCAGAGGCTCGTGTTTCTTCCAGTAACTTAGGCATGGGACAAAGGCATCTGCATGCAGACAGACAGAGGGCACACCGCTGCAGGGGCTGTGGAGGGCTGCAGAGGAGCTGGGACCCAACAGGCATCCTTCAGGCTGCACCAAGAGGCTGAGATTCACAGGCTGAACTGTCGTGAGCACAAATATGGAGTATTGCCCTTGGGACCTAAACCCAACTGCTGGCTCAGAGCAGCCCTTCTGGGATAGTTCTGGGGCTGCAGAACAGTGAGCTCAGTGCCAGTCAGCACCCTGCCCTGGGGACCAATAACAGCTAACGTGTCAGAGAGTTCTCCAGACCAGGCACACGGCTTGTGGCTTTTCAGCCATGTCCCATGAGACCCCCGTGTTGGCCCTAAGAGGTCTATACGTTGATGACCCCTATTTGCAGACGGGGAATGAATGCTGAGAGTAATAAAGTGACTTTCCGAGATCCATACCTGGGGAGTGGTGGAGCTGGGTCTGTAACACCGGACACACGGGTTGCCAAGCCCCTGCCCTTGCCTGCTTCTCCAAGCTGCTCAAGGCTTCCAAACATGGCTGCTGTGGCAGAGCTTCTATCCCAATGGAGGTGACCATCTGTTCTGCCCTGCTCAGGCCACAGCGTAATGGGATGGGGTAGGGTTCAGGCCTGGCACCCTGTTTGCAGATGGATGGGGGCAGTTGTGGGCAGGAAGGGTAAAGGGTGTGCAATGACCCCCATACCTCAGGCCCTCCCTCCACCCTCACCCTGAAGACTGCTGCTCTCTGAACCCTCCTCTACGCCTCACCCCACCCAGGCACTGCCCACCAGAGAGGCCACCACCAACACGTTGACTCCACTCTTGCCAACGCCCCCAACCTCCATGTGTCTCAGCAAAATCCAGGTTTGGTTCCATCTGTTCTTTTATGTATTTATTTTCCTGCTCAGGCCCTAAGGACAGCAGGAGTCAACGATGTTACCCGGTAGACAGTTCGCCGTCTCCACCCCGGGCTGGACCCTCAGCTCTGCCAGGTGACCTTCACGGCTTCTCCAGCACTGCCCCGCCTCCACAACCCCGCTGACTTTTTCCGTCCTTGTTCCTTCTCTATAAGACCCTCTCCCCACCACCGAACCCCTCTAATGCAGAGAAAAGGACCAATTGCAAGGGTGGGAGGTCCTTGGCCAACTTATTGCCAAAAATCTTCTTTTATCGAACAGCTTTACGAGTTGTCATTTACATACCATAAAATCCACTCGTCTGAAATGCACCACTGAATGACTTTTAGTGTATTGACAGAGTTGTGCCACCGACTGTCACCCACATTCAATCTTGGAACATTTGCATCACCTAGCAGGAGAGAAAGCATTGCCTACTTGCAGGCTCCCTCCAATCCCACCCTGTCCCCAGGCAACCACCAGTCTGCTCTCCATCATTATAGATTTGCTTTTTCTGGACTTTCCATAGAAATGGAATCATGCACTAGGTGGGTTTTTTTGTTGTTGTTGTTTGTTTTTTGTTTTTGTGCCTGACTTCTTTCATTTTAGCATAATGTTTTTGAAGTCCCTCCAAGTAGCACATACCCATTGTTGGTTCCTTTTTATTGTGGAATTGTAGAGCTATAACACGTTTGCTCATCTATTCACTGGTTGATGGACATTTGGGTTGTTTCCACTTTGGACGACGATGGAGAAGGCAGCCACGGGGCTTGGGTGCAAGTGTCTGCGTGGACACACGGCTTGCTTTCTCTTGGGTAGATACCGAGGACGGTGCCCTACTCTCACAGTATATCTCTCTGCATTTCCCTCCTCTGTCTCCAGATTCGATGGCTGAGGTGTCCCTGCTGCAGTGATAGATTTCTTCGTCTGTGATCTGTGTTCCCTCTCTCCCTGTTGCTTTGGGGACCTTGCTTCATCAGCTATGCCGTCCCCTTCTCTTATCACCAGCATTTGGCTTCATTACATGGGGATAATAATAAGACTCACTGCATGGTGCTTTAGTGAGGATTAAGTGAGGAATGGTATTAAGATGCTAAAGTAGGAAGATGCTAAAGTAGGCCCCACGGTCCCTGCCTCCTGCTGCTGGGGCCTTTGTATAATCCCTTGCCCTTGAGTATAGGTGGGACCTGTGACTTGCTTCTAACCAAAGGCAATGGGATGTCACACCAAGATAATGTCACATTACAGGAGACTCATCTCAGCAACCTGGAGATAGAGACTCTCCTTCCTGGCTCCATGAAATAAGTAAACATGTTGGAGAGGGACATTTGAAGAGAACCTCTGGTACCCCTAGGGACTGCAGGTGGCTCACTCCACGTGGCCTCTAGGACCTGAAGGTGGTATCTAGTGCTCTCAGGAAGCTCTGGTCAAAAGCTAGCAAGAAGCCAGGGTCCTCAGTGCTACACCAGCAAGGAAATGAGTCCTGCCAACAATCTGAATGAGATTTAGAAGTGAGTTCTCCACCGGTCGAGTCTCCAGATGAGGTCACAGCCCATCCGACACCATGACTGTAGCCTGTGGGACCTGACCCAGAGGACCTCACTGAGTCACGTCAGGACCCACAGAAACTGAGAGAGAATAAATGTGTGTTTTAAGTAGCTAAATCTGTGGTCGTCTGTCACAGAGCAATAGAAAATAAATACACATGAGAGAGCTTAGAAGAGAACCTGGGATGGAGAGAGGCCTGGGAGGGCTAGTTGTGCCGGAGCAGATCAGCTCTTTCCTGTAGATTACACAAGCAAAGCCCATCTCAAAAACAATTGACAGAAATAAGCAAACCCTCTTTACTTTCCACCCTTAACAACTTCAAGAGGACTCGGTATTTGCTTCGTGCCCTTTCATTCACTCTCATTTTGTTGCAATTTAATTCCTCTGACTCCTCTAGTCCACCGAAGCTGTTCTCCTTAAGGTCACCAATCACCCGCTAGTTACTAAATCTGATGGATGGCTTGGGTCCTTCCTGTACTTGACTTCTCTGTGGACTTTGATATCAGTGACTGAAGCAGCTTAGAGCTGAATTCAGAGGAGACACCCACTGAATATAAACCACATTTGGGGGTGAGGGGACCAGAGAATGGTCCGACCATGACAGGCTGGCTCCTGGCAACTTTCCTTCCTTCCTTCCTTCACTCCTGCACGAATTCATTCATGCATTCACACACGTGCACGCTTCTGGAATACTGCAGACACAGCACTCTCCCGCAGTGACAGAGGCACAGTCCTACTCCCGCAGAGATCCCCATCGTGGGCCCAGCAGAGGTTAAAGTAAGTCAATGGATTCATAAGATTTCAGAGTGGCACATAGGGTGGCAATAAGACAGAATGCAGTGACAGAGAACGCAACATAGAGGGGCTGCATTAGACTGTCTGCCTGGAGAAGAGCTTTGATTACAGAGGTGGCATTCGCCGAGTTGACATCTGAATGAAAACGGAGCCAACCATGAGAAGATCTGGGGCAAGTGCATTGTGAGCCATAGGCTTAGCTGAGGCAAAGGACATCAAGTGGGAAAAATCCCGGGGGCATCCAAGGAACAGGCAGGAGGTCAGTGTGGCCAGAGCAGAGCTGAGCGGGCGGACGAGCTGTAGGAGGTGAGCCGAGAGCCCTCACTGGGCCCGCGCTCATGGGGCTGGAGGCTTCCAGGGAGTGTGAATTTTATTCCAAAAGCAGCAGAGAGGCAGCTGAGTTTCAGTGCAGGGAAGTCATTGATCTGATTTTTGTATTATGAAGATCACTCTGGTTGCTACATAGAGACAGGTTATTTTGCAAGGGCAAAATCAGGGAGACTCGTTGGGTGGCTGGCTATTAGAGTGGTATGAGGGAGCAATCAAGGTGGCTTTGACTAGGGATGTAGGTCAGGTTTCCCAGGAGACAGACTGTGAAATGCTGCGATTTGTGTGCAGGTAATTTATTGGGGAGCGCCCTCAGGAATAACACCTGGTATGTGGGGCGGGGTGGAGGATGAGGACGACAGGATGGGGCAGAGGAAGGAATTAAACTGTGAGGAGGTTGCAATGGAGCCCCCAGACCACCCCAAGGGGAGCCCAGAGCGGGGAAGGCCCCGAAGGCTGCCCTGAATCAAGGCAAGAGGGCGAGGCTTTCCTGGTGCAGAATTGACCAGTCACTAGATGTAGGGCATGGACCTGGGAGGGGCAGAGTCTCAGGCCTGGGGGTTTCCTTCAGATGAGGGAAAAGCCCAGGAAAGACCCGGCAGGCAGGGACATGAGTGTCTGGTCACATTCCAGCATCCACCGCAGGCTCCCCGGGGGCCGTGCAGATGGGGAGAACTGGGCAGTCAGGGTGTAGTTTCTAGGTAGCACTGATGGAGCCTGCAGTTGGCCTGGTTACAGGAGAGAAGAATGGACACGGGCAGAATCAAAGACGGCTCTGGGGCATCTGGCCTGAGCACCCGTTCTGAATGGCCATGCCATCTCCTGAGACAGAGCAGCCCCAGGGAAGGGCAGAGTTCTCTGAGAAAAGGAAGAATTCTGCTGTGGCCACTGGCCCTCCGGGAGGCCAGCAGACACCCACAGGACACTGTCAACCGCACTGTGCCCCAGGTGAGCCCGAGGCCAGCAGAAGGTCAAGGCTGAAGGCACAGTTGGGGAAGCTGTGGGGTCTCTGACCAAGAGAGGACCCCGCAAGAGACACTGAAGAGAGGACAAAAGTGGGAAGGAACCAAGGAGAGGAGGTGTCCCGGGAGCTGAGAGAGAAGCCATCTGAAAGAAGAGGGAGCGGTCATCAGGTTGAGTGCCAGGGAGGAGCAGCCTTGGATGTAGCCAAACAAGGACACTGGGACCTCTTGACCTGAGCAGTTTGGGTGGATGGTGGGAAGGGAAACCTGGAGAGAGAAGATCAGGAGGAGGATTCAAGGTGCAGAAGTGGTTCTAGTACCTGTGGAGGATTAGAGGCCTGATCAATGGAGGAGCTTTAAGAGATGCCTGATCCCAGAGCCTGCACGTCTGCAGGCGAGGATGATCTAGTCGAGGGGCTGGGCAGGATGGGAGGGGAAAGTTCTTGAGAGGTGAGCTGGGGTGGGCCCAGGGCACAGAATGGAAGGAGACCTAGGCTGGGCTCAGGGACCTGCAGCCGTGTCACCAGACACAGGGAGGCTGGTAGGTTTGGTGGAATAAAGGCTCATTTCGCCAGGGAAGGCTGAGGCCAGGTGAGGGGCGTGTGGGGCATTTGATGAGCAGGTGGGTATGGAAATTCCACATTCCCAGCCTGCACTGGGAAAGGGCATGCTCAGGACCCGGCCTCTCAGGAATACGTCCCCACACGTGCTTCAAAGCTGCAGCGTGAAGGGGACGGGCTGAGCCTAGAGGCCACCTCAGCCAGCAGGTCCTCCCTCCTACCCCCAAGGTGGTCCTGCCTAGGTCTGTGGCTGGAGCCCTCTGTGTCCGCCCCAAGGATAAAATTTTCTGAAACGGAAGGCCAAGGTTTTCTCTCTTCCAACCAACCCTGGGCCGGATGCAGCCCATCTGTCCTGTGGCCACTCGCTCACTGTGGTCAAGTCTCTCCTGACCCCCACATCCACAGTGCACATTTCCCAGACACAAAAAAACGAGGCCACGGTCCAGTGGTCCCCCGCTCCATCACCAGTTTTGCTTTTCAGATGACCTCGCCAACCTCAGCTCTAGCCATCGATTCTCATCGACTCCCGGAAGCCTATCGATCTCCCTCATTTCCAAGTCGGTAGCTTGGAATGAGCTTCTGCCCGCCCCATTTCCAGCTCTCTCCTTCCGCCCACCTCTCTTCTCTCACCCCTCCTCCCTTTCAACCGTGCCACCCGGGTCTTGTCCCCTCCGTCACTGGCACCGCTGGCTCCAGCTTCCTGTCTCTTTTCTACACGTGCTTTCTTGACTGCTGCCCTCTACGTCCATGAATTCCAGACCATCCTCGCCCACCTAGAGCTCTCTCCTGAGCACAGGCTGGGACCCAGTATCTCCATTTCATCTCGGTCACAAGTCCAAGGGGGTCACCTCCCTGATAGAGCCCTCTCTGACCACCCTGTCCCCTTCAGGGTTCTATGCCCTGTACAGGTCTCAGTCTTAGCATCTTCTAATACTAACTTTAGTAGAATTTTTTAGAACAATTTTAGGTTCACTGTTCAATGGAGCAAAAGCAGAAGAGTTTCCATATGACTCTGTCTCTGGCACCGGTACAGCCCCTCCGCCCAGGGGTGCCACGCCGGAGGCACCTACACCACCACATCATTATCACCCCAAGTCCACAGTTTCCACTCACTCTTGGGGTGGGGCATTTTGCAGGTTTGGACAAACGTGTAATAACATGTCCTCTGTATGTGTCACGCTGAGTAGTTTTGCTGCTGTCAAAATCCTCTGTCTGCCCATTCATCTCTTTCTCTTCCCTTAGTCCTGAAAATGCTGCCCTTTTTACTATCTCTATGGTTTTTCCCTTTTAAGGATGTCAAATAGTCGGAATCACACAATATATAACATTTTCAGACTGTCTTCTTTCACTGAATCATAGACACTTAAGTCTCTTCCGGGTCTTTTTTGGTTGATAGCTCATTTCTCCCAGCACTGGATAATATTCTGTTGGATGGATATACCACAGTTTCTTTATCCCCGTTTCCCCTCCACTACATAGTAAGTAAACCCCTCTAGATCACTAGATCAGGGGTGACCCCGGCTTCCTAACCCCAGGATCTGGCAGAGTATCTGGTACGTAGTTGATCCTTAATAAAAGCTTGTTAAATGGATGTGTGGCCAATTAACAAGTGGACGGAGAGTGTATCACGACGACCTACAACTTGACGTTCAATGCTAAACGTCACCTCTTCTCCTCATCTGATCACCTCCTAAATGACCCAGGTACTCATTGGAGACTTTCTTCTTCCTGGAGTATCACCTGGGACAAGAACCTGACAGGTCCTGCCTTCTGCTTTCTCCTCCGCCTTCCATTCCCAGCTTCTCTCTGGGTCCTACTGAATGGTCACCCTGGAATGGCTCTCCGACAGCCCCTTGGCCATCTCCTGACCAGCACAGATTTCAGATGGTATCTCACCTGGATCAACTCCACAGCACCCCCCGCCGCAGTCTCTCTCCACCAGGGCGCTCTTCACACCGCCCACCCAAGAGGTCTTCCTAAGTGCACCCCCGCATTCGGAAGTCTGCGGTCAGCCCTCGCGGCTCTGGGATCACAGTGGACACCTGTGAAGACACTGCCAGCTGCTCGTGACCTGGCTCCCGCGACGGCATGGGGAAGGCACAATAAACGGTCACATTACTACCAGGATGAAGGCCGGAGGTGAGAAGAGGTGAGAGGACACGAGAATTATCTGATCCCATATGCATCAGATCCTTCTGTCATCCTGAGAGACGGAATCAGATGGCTGTGGGGGAGGCCGCAGGGGAAGCTCCGCCTCGGGTCCTCTTGGGAGGAGGAGCATGGGTATTTCTGAATCCCGGGGACAGGGCATGGGTCCAATGACCTTATGGCACCTCCCAACCCATAGGTTCTGAAAAACCATGGGGAAAGCCCTGAACAGGGCCAGTTCCAAAGGTACGGCTGTCCCTGTCCTGTGGGCCACTGAGTCTGCCTGGTCTCCTGGTCACTCCCTCATTCTGCCACCGTCATGCC